AAATAGCAGAAAGGGTAGTGCCAACTTGAATGGACCAGGCCTTGTTTGAAAGAATGAGCAACTCTTCATTCAAATATCATCTTATTGGCTTTACCCCCAAGTGCCTGTTCATGCAACACTGATGCACATTGGAACAGATGGACTGGGGAGTTCCCTATGCTACATGTATCTCTTGCTGACAAGTTAAAGAAAAGCATATTGGGGTTTCCATGGAGACCCCAATATTATGGGGCAGTGACAGCATGGGGCCAGGGCCGGGGGAAGAGCTACAATCTGCTCCCCCCACATCACAGGGGTGTTCAGGCAGCAGATCACAGCTCTGCCCCAGCCCCAGCTGACACTGCTTTGCAATCCCAGGGTCTCCATGGAGCAGGGCAGGGAATTATTTTGGGCAGAAGGCCACTTACCAAGTTTTGGCAAGCTGGCAAGGGCCACATGGGTAGCCCCACCCCTTGATAGGTGTCCTGCCCCTGGTCACCCTCTTGTGACTGGAAGTCCCACCCCCTAACCTCTGACCTTTGCCACCAGAAGTCCCTCTCCTTGTCCCCCGCAAGTACTCCTTTCAGCAAAGGGTTTTGCCATCATGGAACCAGAAAAATACCAAACAATATTCTAAAAAGGGAACATCTACAACATTCATTAATTTGATTTAAAAAATTATTTTTGTCCCGATGTATATGCATTAGTGTAGTTGTCACAGAGGTGATTGCACACTAGCTTAAAGTGAAGTCTTATGCTTGTATATTGTGGGGTGGTTTGGGGTATAGGTTTGTGGGAAGCTGTGGGTGTGATTATGCAGGGTGTGGGGGAGGGTGGGTGTGTGTGTCTGTGTGTGGGAGGGCTTCTGAAGGCGGTAGGTGTGGGGAGTGTGGGTGTGAGGTGAGGGAGCATATGGGTGTGGATATGTGGAGTGTGGGTGGGTATGGGGTTTGTGGGGGTCTGTGTATGGGGGGAGGGTGGCTGGCATGTGTGAGAGGGTGTGGGGGTCTGTGTATATGGCAGTGTGAGGGGGGGTGTGGGTGCATGTGTATGGTGGGGTGTGCACGTGGGACTTGCCCTATGAACACGCACACACACACCCTCCCACTCCTGGCCCCAGGGTACCAGCACGGGCCCCATGCTCCCGTGGTCTGGATGTGCAGCCAGGAGCCATGTGATGTTGGAGTGGCCGGCAGCCAGCAGGAAAGTAAGCTAATGGCAGCTACAGGCAGGCAGGAGTTGATGCAGGGGAGTGCAGCAACAGCTGGACAGGAACACAGGGCCAGTGCCAGCAGGGCCCAGAGCAGGGTGGCAGGAGCATGGGACCCCTGTACCCTCTGCAGCACAGCTGGTGCTGGACCCTGTGCTCCTGCTGCCTCGCTCTGGGCCCTTCCCAGCCATTACTGCATTCCTGTGCGCCCGCTCACTCCCACTCCCCATGCTTTTGGCTGCCATTTCCCTGCTTTGCTGCCAGTCGCTCCAGCACCATGTGGATCCTGGCTGCATAGCTGGATTGCAGGATTCAGCAGGAGCCGGCTCAGCCCAGCCTGGCCCTGAGGACTAGGGAAGATCACCCATGGCCCTCCCCTGCCTTTTCCCCCCACCTCCCACACAAATGCTTATCTGGATTTCCCTGTCTGGCACAGGGAGGCAGGGACAGCCCCAGGGACCCAGGCCAGAAGTCTTTGCTAAGCATGGGGCTTCTGAGTGTAGGGCTGGAGGGGCTGGGTCGGGGGGAGGGGTTGGGCCTGGACAGGCCTTGCTTCTGTGTTACTGAGTTCTGCCAGCTTCCCCGCCTCATCTTTGACAGGAGGCCAGGAGCAGATAAATATTAATTTTCTGAATTCTTTAGGGGCCCTGCAGGCATGTAGAATGGGCTGATGGGCTGAATCTCACCTGCAGGCCTTATTTTGCCCACCCCTGCCATAGAGGTTGGTTGGGAGCCACACAGGCAGGATACACAGCCAGGTGGATGAGATGAGGCTATAGGCAGGCAGGGAGCTGCATCCAGGATCTTGGAGTGGTAACACCGCAGGGCCAGGGCTGAGGTGTGATCCACTCCCTGCATGCCTCAGCTCACAGAACCTGAGCTTGTGGCAGGGCTGCGGGGGGGAGATCATGCTTCTCCCCCGGGCCCTAGTCAGAGCTGTCACTGCCCCAAGATTGCGGGGTCTCTCTGGCCCCACCTGTCTGTCTCACTCCCAGACACCATTCCACATCTACCCAGCCAAGCACGCTGCCCATGCAGGTCCCACCCCAGCAGTGGGTACAGGGCAGGCAGGCCGGGGTGCCCAGGCAACAGGGCCAGGTCCAGCGGCTGCAGCAGCTGGAAGGAACTGCCACCAAGGCTGCTGGGAAGAGAGCCCAGCCACCATGCTGCCCCAGCCCTGCTGTGCACCCAGGGATGACTGCACCATCCACACACTGCAGCCCAGGCTGCCCCCCTGCATCTGGGCCAGGTGGGACTGAGGGACCCGCTGCGGGCTGGACAAAAATCCCTCAGCAGGCTGTATTTTGCCCACCCAATTCTATACGTATTCTGCCACGTGCATCTTTTGCTGAAGGCAGTATAAACATTTAAAATAAGATCAAGAGTAGGCGACGTTGCTTTTTTAGTTTACTGCTCCATCTATACCAAAACTGGGTTTTGACATACATGACAGGCTGGGGGTAGGGGCTTGTTTGGAAAAGTTAGGGCATGTCACAAGAGTTCTGCCCTTTAAAACAGTATTCATTATTCTCTTTAGTGAGGTGGTGAGTGCAGACATATGACCTAACTGGAGTAGTAAGTGTATAAAATCTATTCAGATTATTTGAATAGGGTATGTAAAGGTGGTCAACAAGCTGGCTAACCAAAAGGACCTACTTGGAGCGACCTGGAAGACATTCACCTCACGCTCCAGGAAATGCAGGGCCAGGGCTGCTCCTTCCCTGGCACTGAACAACAGGTACAACCCACTCTCCATGCATGAGGAGGCTCCAATGGTGGCACCAGAGGAGGAGAAGGAAGGTAAGCAGTGTGCTGCCACCCCCAAGAGGAGGTGCAAAATGGTGGTGGCTGGGGACTCCTGCGGGGCACTGAGGGACTCATCTGCCATCCAGACTCCCTAGCCTATGAGGTCTGCTGCCTCCCTGGAGCTCACAGCTGAGATGTTGGGGAGAAGATCCCCAGGCTCGTCAAGCCCTCCAACTACTACCACACGCTCCTCATCCATGTGGGAACAAATGACATGACCAGGAGTAATCCAGACCAGGTCATGAGTGACTACAGGGCTCAAGTAGTCTTTTCTTCTGTGTTCCCTGTTGCAGGCCATGGCCCAAGGAGGGAAGGATGCATAGAGGAAGTAAACAGACATCTCCAAGGGTGGTGCCACCAAGAGGGCTTCAGTTTCCTCGACCACAGCACATAATTCAGGGAGAAAAGACTCCTGGGAAGAGATGACATCCACCTCACATGGAAAGGCAAGTCCCTGTTCTCAGCCAGGATGGCCGATCTTCTAGATAGGGCTTTAAACTAAGATTGCTGGGGGATGGGGAAATACAGACTGAAGCATGCCTGGGGACCAACATACAAGAAAGCTCCATAGACAGAGACACTAGAAGAGCCACTCTGGCAGGAGTTGAGGGGGTAGTTTTCCATCAGCATGACAGGTAGGTTTGCAGAAGATAGGATTCTGAATGACAACCAGCATGGCTTCGTCACAGAAAGGTCTTGTCTTACCAACCTCATCTCCTTTTATGATTAGGTAACTCACCACCTGGATAACAGAGAGGAGGTTGACATTGTATACCTTGACTTCCAAAAAGCTTTTTGATCTGGTATCCCACGATGTTCTCATGAGAAAATTGGAAGATTGTGTGCTTAATTGCGAGCCAGTTAGGTAGGTAGGAAGCTGGCTGCAGGGTAGGACCCAGAGAGTTCTACTGAACGGATCTGTATAGTCTTGGTAAGAAGTGGCCAGTGGTGTCCCTCAGGGGTCAGTGCTTGGTCCAGTGCTTTTTAACATCTTCATCAATGATTTGGATGTGGGGGTGAAGAGCTCACTAGCCAAGTTCACCGACAACACCAACTTATGGGAAAGCATGATCATGCTTGAAGATAGGCTGCAGATACAGGTGGATCTAGACAGGATGGCAAGTTGGGCAGATTGGAACCAGATGAGGTTTACCATTGAAAAATGTAAAGTGTTCCACCTGGGGACAAACAATCCCCTGCACACCTACAGGCTTGGCAACACCAATCTGACCAGCACTATGAATGAAAGAAACCAGGGGGTAATAACTGAACACAGTATGAACATGAGCTGACAGTGCAACACTGTAGCCAGCAGGGCAAATAATACTCTGCCGTGGATCAATAGATACATCTCCAGCAAAACCAAGGAAGTGATTCTTCTGATCTACTTGGTATTGGTGAGACCACAGATGGAGTACTGCATCTAGTCCTCGGTGTCACACTTCAACAAGGACATAGAAAAGCTCAAGAGAGTCCAAGAAAGGGCCACCTGTATGATCAGAGACATGCATGGCAAGCCATGAGGTAAGGCTGAAGGACCTGGGACTCAGTTTCATAGTTGGTAGGGTTGGAAGGGACCTGAGCAGATCATCAAGTCCGATCCCCTGCTATGGCAGGAAAGAGTACTGGGGTCAAATGACCCTGGCAAGGTATTCATCTAGCCTCCTCTTAAAGACCCCCAGGGTAGGAGCCAGCACCACTTCTCTTGGAAGTTGGTTCCAGATCCTAGCCGCCCTGACTGTGAAGTAGCGCCTCCTGATGTCTAGTCTGAATCTACCCTCTGCCAGCTTGTGACCGTTATTTCTAGTCACTCCTGGTAAACGCTCAGGGGAACAGGGACTCCCCCAGTGCCTGTTGGTCCCCTCTGACTAGTTTGTAAACGGCCATTAGATCCCCCCTTAGCCTTCTCTTGTGGAGGCCAAACAGGTTCAGGTCCCTCAACCTCTCCTCGTAGGGCCTGCCCTGCTGCCACCTGATCATGTGGGTGGCCCTCCTCTGAACCCTCTCCATGTTGTCCACATCCCTCCTGAAGTGCGGTGCCCAGAACTGGACGCAGTACTCCAACTGCAGCCTGACCAGTGCCGCATAGAGGGGGAGGATCACCTCCTTGGACCTGCTCGTAATGCCTCTATGGATGCATGACAAGGTGTGGTTGGCCTTCCTGACTGCACCCCTACACTGTCGGCCCATGTTCACTTTGGCATCAATGACGACTCCAAGATCCTTTTCTGCCTCTGCACTGACAAGGGAGTTCCCCAGCCTGTAGGTATGCTGCTGGTTCTTCCTCCCCAGGTGCAGCACCTTGCACTTGTCAGTGTTGAAACCCATCCTGTTCTCATCCGCCCATCCCTGTAACCTGTCTAGATCCAATCTGCAGCCTATTCCTCCCTTCTAGCATGCCCACTTCCCCCCAAATCTTAGTGTCGTCTGCGAATTTGAACAGGGTGCTTTTTATCCCCTCGTCCAAGTCGCTGATGAAGATATTGAACAGTGCGGGCCCGAGGACCGAGCCCTGGGGACCCCCATTACCCACATCCCTCCGGGTCAAATAAGACCCGTCCACCACCACTCTTTGAGCGCAGCCCTCCAGCCTGCTAGTGACCCATTTGACTGTGTAGGTGTCAACGCCACAGTCTCCTAGTTTTTTAATGAGAATGGCGTGAGAGACAGTGTTAAAGGCCTTCCTAAAATAATTCAACGTCTTCCTAAAGTCCAGAAAGACTAAGTCCACTGCTACCCCTGCGTCTAAGGATTTTGTGACCTGGTCATAGAACGCCATTAGGTTGGTGTGACAGGACCTGCCTCTAATGAA